AAAAAATGAACCATTTTAATTTTATGGGAGGTCAAACGGTATGTTGCTTACAGTCTACAACATGCTACAGAGGGTTAAATGCATTTGGGCATAGTCAAAACTAGTGTATAGCTGAGGCATTGCAGAAAATAGAAAATCCAAATCACGAAGTAAATCAAGTCCGAAGTCGCAGCACAAAGTCGTTACACCAAATTAAAAAGTCCAAATCGATAGGCAAAATCAAGTCCAAGATCACAACACAAATCGATGAATTTCAATCTAAAGCAGGGTAAAACGATGTTGCACAGGATAGTAGTATGACAGCACACTGACTTAAAAAAATGCTTAGCCCACAAACCACAAATACGAGGGTGGATTGAAAAGTACTCGGCCTAACCAAGAAAATAAACACATACTAAATCAGTTATATTTTTATTTTTCTACATAATCACCATCAAGTTCAATACACTTTTGCCACCTCCCCTTCCAAGCATTTAGACCGTTGAAAAAAAATGATTCTTCCTTAGAGTCAAAATATGCGTCTACAGCTGCTTTGACCTCGTCGTTTGTCGAAAATCTTTGACCTCCCAAGTGCTTTTTTAGGTTAGGGAACAGAAAGAAATCTGATGGTGCCAGATCAGGTGAATACGGCGGATGCGGTAACAGTTCAAAGCCACAGTTGTGAATTTCAGCCATTGACTGTACTGACGTGTGAACACGGGTGTTATCTTGATGAAACAGGACTTTTCTTCTGAGCATTCCTCGACGTTTTTCTTTTATTTCCTCTCGTAAACGACGTAGTAAGGTGCAGTAGTAATCAGAGTTTATATTCTGACCCCTTTCATAATCAATCATAATCACACCTTTCGAGTCCCAGAATACTGAAGCCATCACCTTATTTGCCGACAAAATCGACTTAGCCTTTTTAGGGGGTGGTGAACTAGGTCTTCTCCACTGTTTTGATTGTTGTTTTGTTTCCGGTGTACAGTAATGAACCCATGTTTCGTCCATAGTAACAAAACGATTCAAAAAATCATCTGCATCGGCTTCAAATAACTCCAAACAGTCGCGTGAAATAGTCAATCGCGTCCTTTTTTGTTTAACTGAAAGCAGTCGCGGAACCCACCTCGCAGACACCTTGTGGAAACCCAACTCGTTGACAATGATGTTTTGAGTTCGTTCATAAGAGATGCCTATAATCTCGGCTATCTCTCTAATTTTTAATCTGCGGTCTCCCATTATTAAATCAAGTACTTTTTTAATATTTTCGTCAGTAGTTGACGTCGAAGGCCTTCCAGAGCGGGGTTCATCTTTCACACTCTCTCTACCACGCTTAAATTCTGCCTAATGTACTGACCATGTCATCATGGATGGCTTTTGATGATAGCCCCTTCTTATGGAGGTATTTAATGACGGCACGCTGCTCGATTTGCTCCATTCGCGGAAATTATGTCCGATTACTTTGTTAATAAATTTATAAAATCACAACTAATTATCGCACACGTTTCGAACTTCACACAATGAACTAGTCTGAACTGAACTAAATAATGTGGGTAGATTTGATTTTTAGAATTGAATGGATCTGTGTTAGGCCGAGTACTTTTCAATCCACCCAGGTATGAAAAGGAAAAGGATGTCTGTTACACGAGTGGATCACTAATTCGTCTTTCTTTTTCACTCATTGCATGAAAGATCAGGATAGATGTACCGTCGGTTTATTGTTGCTAGTGTAAGTAACCGATCTATTCCAAGAATTATATTCTCTACCTGGCAGAGGGGTCGTTTCTGCGAATTCAATGGGCTATGCAGGCCGTTGTTTCAAACAATTTTAAAAACAAGGTTTACATTAAACTACGTAGGCGGTCCCATAATGAATTGGCCTAACTATGAACCAATGAAGGAAATGAAACGAAACCAATTTTATTTTTCAATATAATCACAATGAATACTAACACACTTCTGACATCTGTGAATCAACATCTCTAAACCTTTATAAAAATAATCACATTTTTTATCCTCAAAATGACTGAAGACGGCCGCCTGCAACTCTTCATCGCTTGAAAATTTTCTTCCTCTTAAGTCCCGCTTTAAATTTGGAAATAAATAATAGTCGGACGGGGCCATGTCTGGACTGTAAGGTGGATGTTGAACTTCTGTGAACCCGCATTGACGAACTGCATCCTTCGAAATACCAGCGGTATGAACAGGGGCGTTTTCATGGAGCAACAGGACACCTTTAGACAGCTTGCCTCTTCGTTTTTCCTTTATCTTGTCTCGTAATTTATATATTAAAGAAGCATAATATTCGCCGTTCAAGACTGTATTACGTTCTTTAAAATCCACCATCAAAATGCCTTGAAAATCCCAAAATATTGTGCACATCAGTTTTTTAGTCGATTGTTGCACCTTTGCCTTTCTAGGGGGCTTTTCACCCTTATAACGCCATTCCATTGACTCGCGCTTGCTTTGTGGATCATAATACAAGATCATAGTTTCATCACCAGTCACTAGCCGCTCGATCACAGTCTTTGGATTTTCGCCACAAAGATCCAAAAACTCCGAAGCGCAGCGCACTCTTTCCTGTCTCTGTACCGCTGAAAGAAGTTTCGGTACCCATCTTGCACTCACTTTTTTCATGTGAAGATGTTCATGGATCGCGCGATGAACGGTACTCTTAGAGAGCCCAAGCCTTGCTGCAATTTCTCTAATCTTCAAACGGCGGTCACTCAGAACCTCCTCTTCGATAAGAGCAATCGTTTCAGGAGTGAGCACTTTCACAGGTCGACCGTCGTGGCCAAAGTCTTCGACGGTTTCTCTCCCGAGGCGAAACTCTTTCACCCAATTTTTCACTGTGCTATAGGAGGGGGCAGACTCCTTATACACGCCATCCAATCGTTCTTTTATTTGGGCAGGGGATAAACCTTCTTTAAACAGAAACTTTATGACACTTCGATACTCAGTTTTCGACATTTTGAAAAAATACGCGACTCTCGTTATTCAAATGCCTGTTAAACTAAGACTAAGCATTTCATGTCGATGCATGTTTCTTATATTAAGTGCACAATAAACGTACTATTTAATGCAACACAACATGTAGCGACATGTCGCGTTGAACTATATCAGGCCAGTTCATTATGGGACCGCCTGGTAGGCCGTTGAATTATTGTAATAGGAATTTCTTTTGTATTAAATGCTGGAAATACAGTGAGTTATACCATTTTGGAATCTCAATGAAACAGGCATGTTTTTTCTTAATTTGGCACTCAGGTGGCCGTATTTTTTTTACATCACGTTAGGTTAAACTTAGGAAAAAAATAAGCAAAACATGAAATTTGAGTTAAGTCTTTGTTTAAAAAAAAACTATGCATGCGCCTCAAAAATCATAGTTTACATTCGATAGCGCTTCTATCCAGGAATACTTTCCAAAGAACAGATACTCGTAGAAAAAATTCCTTCAATAATTTTTTGATGTCTATTTTGTCATAACCTATTTGTGTATGGTGACGGAATGATTAAGGAATAAATAATGATTTCTTATAAGAAGTTTTATTAGATGAAGCAGGGTGTGAAGGAAAATTATTATTATATCATTGTAGGATTAGTCGAAAGCGAAGAATTTATAGGGTTTTTTTTTGAGATCAGAACATCAGCATATGATTTTAATGAAACTTGGGGATATTTTTGTGATGCTTCTAGGTATGAGATTGAATTTTGTGCCATTTAGATTTTAATATTATTTTATCTTGTGTGCTCAGGGCATCTAGAATCCGTGGCTTTGTGGTTACCTGAGCAGAATAAGCAACGAAAGGTCCCATTATCTTTGTCGCAAGAAGAAGAAGAGTGATCACACTTTGAGCATCTTGGCTTGAAACGACATAAATCTTTAGTGTGTTCTAATCTGCAGCACTGAAAACATTGAATCGTTAGAAGCTTACAAATTTCAACAGGGATAGAATAATAGCAAAAATAAACCCTCGAGGGAAGAATTTGACCGTCAAATGTGATTACGACACTTTCAGAACTTTCATATCTAACTTTGTTTTCATTGCGTACTCGGTAATTTAATCTTCTTACTTTGAATACAGGTGTGGTGTTTGGATACGTAGATAATTCAGAAATAATCTTTTGTGGTGTCCAATCTTTTGGTACACCTTTTATTACACCCTTAGGGCGCGTTCCCACTATGTCGTAACGACTAATTTATCGTTCGACGACTGTCGTCTCTACCTGTTACCATTATAACGATTGTTTGTCGTCAACATTTTTTATCGTTTAGCGACTGTCGTATCTAGCTGTTCCCATTGGATCGCTCAGATCGCTCGCATCATCAGCAAGCTACAAATCTAGTCGCCTCTGCGTTCGCTTGGTGATTACTAGTGCGTTTACTCTCCTGAGTTCAATGGACGAAGATGAAATTTTAATAATGTATTACTTTTTGAAAAGAAGGAAAATGAAGCAAGAAATGAAAAGAAAGTACTGGGTACATCCAATGTTAATGAAAAGAATTCCATTAGGATTATGTCAGAGTTATATAGAAGATTTAAAAAGTGATGATGGAAAGTTTTATGAGTATTTAAGAATGACTGTCTCCACCTTTGATAGCCTACTGGCACGACTTGCAGACAATCTTAGAAGAGAAAACACACATTTCAGAAATTGTATAAGTGCCGAAGAAAGACTAGTGATAACTTTAAGGTAAGTAAATAAAATGAAAATTCTTTATTAATGTATACATTTATTTATTTAGAGATTTATTTTAGAGTTACACGTTTTACAAGTAAAGACATCTTTAAATTATATATTGTCAAAATTAAAAGAATCTTGTGTGCTATCAGACAAATTAGTATAGACTGAATTTGGTGATGCAGCCGGTTCCATAACTTGATTGCTAGTCGAAGTTGATGCACCTGGATCTTGTGTAAAATATCCTGTCGGTTGTGATAAATGGTTTTGGTAGTCACCATAGTTTGCATAAGTATCATATAAATTATTACGAAGGCGTTTCTTTTTAATTTTTTCAATCAGTTGCATAATACCCGTTTGGAATTCAAAATTGTCATCATTGTCGAATGATGCCAAAGATGGTAAAATTCCCGTTTAATACCCGTTTGGAATTCAAAATTGTCATCATTGTCGAATGATGCCAAAGATGGTAAAATTCCTTTAATAAAGGACACATGTGGGTGTTCTTGATTATTTAATTTATAATCTAGAAATTGTGACATTTCATCATCTAATGTGCCAGTCTTAGTTTTCTTTTGAGTAGAAGGTGCTGCATCACTTAATGTATCAGAGATAGAATTATTAGGCTCATTAGATGAATCAGAGGTCATACGGGGCTCAGTAACTTTTAATAAAAAAGACAGCTGATTCTTATAAACATACGGCCTAGTAGTTTTTGCGCCTGCACCAGATCGCTTTTTTTCTTTTTCATTTTTCAGGGATCTCATAAATGCATCTCGAATATGTGTCCACTTTGTAGATATCTGTGTAGCTGTAAAAGTAAAATAGACTTAAAATTAAAATTTGTTTGTGTATAGATTTAACATTATATGTATTAACATATAATCAGTCTAATACGTAGTCAAATTATTGTTCACGCAAACATCTGCACGTTTTTCAGAGTTTAAAAAACTATACTAAGATCGAGTTTTTCCACTAGTATCCCCGGATGTTTCCGTGAACAAGTAAGGGACTACGTATTAGACTGATTATATGTTTATACATAATTATAATGTTAGGGCATTGGTCCTCGAATATAAGCGTATTATAATAGCTGTTGTATTTATTTACAGATATTTGGCGTCGGGATGTTCGTTTAAACAACTGCATTATAATTTTAGAGTGGGAATGTCAACCATCAGCAAAATAATCAAAGAAACGTGTTCTGTTATTTGGAGCGTATTAAGTGCAGAATATTTAAAGTTGCCCAATACCGAAGAAGAATGGAAAGCGATCGCTGAAGCTTTTAAAACGAAAGCAAATTTTCCTCATTGCCTCGGTGCGCTGGACGGCAAGCACATAAGGATTACAAAGCCAATAAATAGTGGTTCTATGTTTTTTAACTATAAGGATTATTTTCTTTTATTTTATTTGCAATTGTTGATTCAGAATACCGTTTCATTTGCGTTAGTATTGGTTCATACGGAAAAGAGTGTGATTCATCTATCCTAAAACAATCCTATTTTTGGAAGAAACTAAATGATGGTACTTTAAATATACCAAGATCTACGCCATTACACGAAAATATGCAAGAAGAAATACCATATGTATTTGTTGGAGACGAAGCCTTTACATTGTCACAAAATTTATTGCGACCTTATGGCGGTACTCATTTAGACAATAAGAAAAAGATATTTAATTACCGTCTAAGCCGCGCGAGAAGATATGTTGAATGCACTTTTGGTATCTTATCCAATAAATGGAGGATCTTGCATAGACCATTGGATGTATGTGCAGAAACAGCTATTGAAGCTGTAAAGGTTTGTACGGTATTACATAATTTTTTAATAAAAAAAGACGCTATATACTTGGAGAATACCCCAACCGTTATGCCCCTGGTAAACATGCCTGCAACACAGCTGCGTTCAAACGAAGGTGGTGGAAACGCAGTGCGCTTACAATTTTCCGACTATTTTGTATCTGAAATAGGCTCCGTACCTTGGCAAAACATTACAGCACATGTATCATAATAAATAAAAAGTTTCAGAAACTTACCGAAATCTTTTCTTTCCTTTTCCTCCAACTTGTCAAAATTAGGTTCAAAAACGCAACAAATTTCTCTCCACGCGGCTAATTTCAAACCTTTGTCTTTATAAATGTCTAAAGTTTTGTCCCAAAGTACAGCCCTTTGTTCCACAAGTGGAATTAAAACTTCCGGTGTTATATTATTAGCCATTGTTATACGTCCACCATGCGCAGGAGTCTGACAAGTTCTAACACGCACAAAGCAAACCGAGTACAGACGCGAGGGGCGCGCGGGTGCGAGAGGGAAGGGAAAACACGTGTTCGTCTACATAGAGTTGCCGTCCACGATTTTATCGTTTTACGACCGTCGTGCTTGCCGTTCCCACTGTCACGACAAAGTGTCGTCACTGCTAAAACTGTCGTAGACGACAGTAAATTGTGTCGTTCTAAATGTGAACACCTCCATTTAAACATATAAGCCACGACACTTAAAACTACACGATTATCTGTCGTCACGACACGGTGGGAACGCGCCCTTACGAGATACGTGGAAGGATGGAATAAACGTTTTGTATTTATCATTTACAGATGGATTTTCTAAAAATAGATTTGCATCAACATATTTAGAGAATTCAATTCTATTCCTTGCGATACGTTTTAAGTGTCCATTAACTATATTTTGAATATATAATAATAATATAATATATAATAATATAATATAGTCATTCTGGTGCGTCTTTCTTACTCGAATCACGATCTCTGAATCTTTCGTCGATGGTTGAAACTATAATTGTATGTGTCACGAAATCTCGTGCACATTTATCGGCTTTAAGCCTTACAATGGCTTCACGCCACAAAGGCTGAGAAGTGCGTGCACTAGTGCTGGTTGTCAGCCATCTTATTGGGTCGGGAGCACCTCTCTTACTCAAAAGGTCATACATATCTGAGGCTATCTCAAATTTCTCTCTATCAGGATTTATATTTTGGTCAGCCGACCTAAGCCGCGATAATTGGTTCATATTCCCGAAGGTCCTGTTCATAAAGCTTGAAATCTCGATGCCAGGTAGTGAGCAAGCAACTGTCCTATCGATAAACTCACAAATCGCCTTTAATTGTTCACGTTGAAAATTATTAGGAGCTTTCAGCAGCATCGCCGCTTCGATGCCTATGATCCATTCTAATTTGCTATGCCATATTGAAGCCATTTATAAAATTGTTCGAAAATCGCTCCGTCTATAGTCCTATAACGAATCGAGAATCTTACTATACTGTGCTGTCAGTGTCAGTTTCTTTGACCGCGTCCAGCGATTTTTAAATTTTCAAATTAATATTTAACATATCTTGCAAATTTCATTTAAAGGCTACCTACAAATTATGCGGATGCAATTAAACTGTCTCATTTAAGATTTAAGACTGACGTTATATAATTTATTTGTACATTGTGTGATTTCTGGATCTCGACAACATTGCCACCAGATGCAATTGTGAATTTAAACCATCCAGGGACTCATACAAAAAAAATCATTAAAATCGGTCAAACCTTTTAGGAGTTCAGTGATAAACACACATACAGAAGAATTGTATTAAGTTACCGTATTTTCATGAATCTACACTGTGATATAGCAAACTTTTGACTGATTATTTGTTGACTGATTATTATTTGAGTTGTTTATTATATTTTAACCGACTGTTGTTTCGCGTTATTCATTAATATACTACTAGAGTTGAGCTCGCGCAGCATTTTTATCTATCTTACTAAATTTTGAATAACGGATTGCAACTTAACTGTTGTGTGGAGAATATGAGTACAAATATAAATAAGTCATTGTCAGAGACTGACATTGCCGAGCAAAGTAAGACAGTCACTCCACCTAACTTTGTCTCTCAACGTAGTAAAAGGAGAAGAGCAGATGATTTGGAGACAGAATTAGAAGCCTTTAAAGAAGAAATGAAATGCATGATTAAATCTTTGTTGACGAGGCACGAAAACGAACTTAAAAAAAATTCCCCCTCGCTTATGGAAATTAAACAAACTAATTGTAACATAGAGAGCTCCATTGCCTTTCTTGCAGCGCAAAATGAAGAACTTAAAAAAAAGTGGAGAGGTTTGAGATTCAAGCAAAGAAGGATAAAGAATATATTATTATTCTGGAAGATAAAATTGAGGACTTGCAGCGTAATAGTCGCAAAGCAAACCTAGAGATCAGAAACACCAAAGAAAACAAGGATGATCTAATAAACATTGTATTGTGTCTATCAAAAAATATAGGCTGCAAAGTCATGAAAACCGTCATTAAAGATGTTTACAGAGTACAAGGAAAAAAAAAGAGATCAAGTAAATACGCCTGTTATAGTTGAAATGACATCTACTATCCTGAAGACTGAATTCTTGAAGACATGCAAGACCTATAATATAAAACACAAAGAAAAACTATGTGTCAATCATTTAGGCTTTACAAAAAACGAAGATAGTCCCATATTCATTTCAGAACAACTGACTGCAAAAGGAGCTCGCTTGTACTTCTTAGCAAGAGAGTTGGCCAAGACGAAGGTTTATAAGTATTGCTGGACCGCATATGGTAAAGTATATGTCAGGAGAGACGATAAGTCACCAATCATTGTAATTAGAAATGAATCTCAAGTACATAGTTTGATGCAAGAAATATGACTCATATATGTATACCTATGTATGTTAAACCCATCATACTTTATTATAATAATTTTTGTGCATAAAACTGTTAGCATAAATTCATTTCTCATAATTTTTACACTGAAACAAATACATACACAACTTTTAACTTACAACAAATACAATTATACAGACATACTTTATTATAAATTACTTATTTTTTATATACACATTTTTATTTTTGCATCTTATAAGAAATGTCATAAAAACAATCAATTAGCTATTTCAGGCAAATATCACATTTCTATTATAATTAAAAATACATACCTGCAAACATTAAAATATCAATGCATTATTCGAATGATAAATGATAACTTGCAACTGTGCTATGAATTCACGTATAACAAATTATTGTTAATACTACGTAAATACTTACTGTTACCCGATCATGGAAAATAGCCCCTTAATGATTATGAAGGAAATAGACCGATTGGAAATTGCCCAAGCTCGCGAACTAGAACTAGATGAATTTTCTAAGCACATTCTCATAAATAATTCGGATCTCACCATAATTTCACAGAATATAAGGAGCATTTACAGTAACTTTGATGACTTTTTGCTAAATTTATCTTGTTTAAAAAACAACATTGACGTTATAGTTCTAAGTGAATGTAGAATAAACGCTAATAAACCTATTCCCCAAATATGTAACTACACATCCTTTTCTACAACAAATCACCTTAACCAATGTGATGGTGTTGTCGTTTATGTTAAAAGCTCTTGTAAATTTAGTGTCAAAGAAATAAAATTAATGCATGCTTCGTGCCTACAAATAAATATAAATAATATTGTTGTACTTGGAATTTATCGCTCACCCTCGATTAATAATGCGGAAAACTTTATTACTTCTTTAAATAAATGTTTGGATAACCTCAAATCGTTTAAAAATATCATCATAACAGGAGATATTAATATAAATATAATACCTAAATGCAACGAACAAGCATTTGAATATAAAAATAGACTGAGTTACTTGAATATGTTTGCAATGCAAGGGTTACTTCCGGGTCATATGACTCCTACAAGGGGTAACGCTTGTCTAGATCATTTTAATATAAAAATAGATAGAAAATTTAAATCTGTATCGATTGCTATATTAAATACACTATTACTGATCACAAAATGATATTTCTGAAGTTAACGAATGTGAGTAAGACGAGCCAAGGCTCTAAAACCAAAATGTTAATTAATTTTGAAAATGCTCTAACGTGTTTGAAAAATAATAATATTTTGGATCTCTTATCATATGATGACCCCAACACTATAACTGAACTTCTAATAGGCACAATAAGAAAATGCCTCCTAGATAACACTAAAATTACTTTGATCCCGTGTAATAAACGTTTAATCAAATCTTGGATGTCTCCTGGTATATTAAGGTGTATAAGAAATAGAAATAACATGCAAAGAAAGCTTAAGTGTGATCCTTATAATCAAATATTACAATTAACGTATCGAAGGTATAGAAATTATTGCAATAACTTAATTAAAAAACTAAAACGCAATTATGATCGTGAGCAATTATCTAAAGCTAATAACAATCCTAAAGCTATATGGAACGCAATAAATAAGATAACGTATCGTAAATGTAATAAAACCCAAAATTTAGAGCTGTTAAATTTAAAATTTGAACCTTCTGTATCTGTAAATTATGTAAATATTTTTTTTGCAAATATTGGCAAAACTTTACCTGATACTATTAACTCGAGTGCTACCTGGCTAGCGTCTACTGTTATCGATAGACGTGCAACCTCTCATCCTACATCCTTTGTATTATTGGAAACTCACTCTCAGGAAGTATACAGTATATTAATGCAGCTGAAATCTAGTAGTGCCCCCGGATGGGATAACATATCGGGCGAATTCCTTAAGATGGCACATGAGTTTGTTGTTCCAGTGATCACCCACTTGGCTAATCTGTGCTTTAATAAGGGAATCTTTCCAGATGCCCTTAAAAAAGCTGTTATAACTCCTGTGTACAAGGATGACGACAGGGATGACGTAGGTAGCTATCGACCCATTTCTGTTTTACCTACCATCTCCAAAATTCTTGAGAAGTTAATAAATGTAAGGTTAATAAATTATCTCCACAAATATAATATTTTATCTAATTTTCAATATGGCTTCAGACACGGACTTTCGACGGAAGATGCAGTCTTGGAATTAATTTCTTTTGTTGTAAATAAAGTTGACAATAGGAAAAAATGCTTAACCGTATTTTTAGATCTTAAGAAAGCATTCGATACCGAATCTGTTCCTATCCTTGTACACAGGCTTGAGGATTTGGGTATAAGGGGTATTCCCTTAGATTTGTTTAAAAACTATCTTAGGATCGCAAGCAGAAAGTAAAGATACTTAAGCGAGGAATCTGATATAACATTTGGAGTACCACAGGGCAGTGTTTTGGGTCCTACATTGTTTTTAGTCTACATAAATAATCTAACTAATATGCACATTAACGAAGGCCACATAATCTCCTATGCAGATGATACTGCAGTAATATTTACTGGTGACTCCTGGGA